TTAAAAAGCATAAGATTCTTTATTTAGAACAACTCTGCTCTGCAGACAATATAAACTTACTAGAATAGTACATCTATCATCTAGATTTAGACATATACCTAAAGGCAAACTACCTTTATAATTTAGTACCTTGGAAGATATAGTCTTTGCAACAAATATAACTGTACACTACTTGACTAGTACCAACTTGCAGGAACCAATGCTTTTGCTATTAGTTCATATACTATTCCTAAAAGATCTAAGTCTTGGATTATTATGATTAATGATAAGAAAATTATTCTTAAAAAAATTTGCAAACAATATTCTGATGCTACAAAAGTTTTAATTACATATTGGCAAGCAGATTTTGACCTTAACAATACTAGCTATCACCTATTACCTCCTATTAGTTGCAAACCTTGTACAGGATGCCACCTCAACTCTAATATAATTAAATCAGCTTGTACTCTAGAAATATCTGCAACCACATCTGCTAAATTTTTCAGCAGAATAATACATGGTCAACTCAAATTTAATGCCAACTATATGGACCTAATCTTCTCTACTGCTATCAAATACTCATTACCAAATATTGTTTTATCAACACCACCTACTATTCCAATAGTAGACTTAATCATAACATCAATTTTTCATCCAAGAGTATTGACAGACAAACTTATAGAAATATCAACTAACAACTTAAATTCCAGACTATTTAATTTCAATACTGATAGATTTGTCATCAACATTGGTACTGAACATTGTACAATGGGTATAGGCTGGGTTCAAGTTGACAATAATAATCAAATTAGCTCTAAATTTAATGCTCAAATTAAGCTTTGGCCATCCTTATACAAAGCAGAACTCTTTTTTATTGTATCAGCTATTGCTACAACACCCCATAATTCTACAATTAATATTTATACTGATTTACAATCTATTATTTCCAAATACTATAAACTCATATTTTCTACTTTCAATCCAAATAGACTTTTTAAATTTAATACATGGTCACTATGGTATACACTTCTTAATATAATGAAATCTTATTAACTACAAGTGACTTTTCATAAAGTCCAGACCCATGCAGATAATACTTTTAATAACCTAGCAGACTTCTTAGCTAAGCAACATATAATTAGCCCATATCTTAACTTTAACTATACTAATATTTATAACCCATATCATACGTTATAGTAAGAAGAAGAGAAATTTTTTATAGAACAAGCCACAAGACCTTTTATTAAAACTATCTGCAAAGCTAATATCTTAGCAATGTGGTTATCTCAACAATATAATCAAGAATGGTCTCAAGTTAACCACAGAATTGACTGGATATCAACATAGTTATACTTTAATTACAACCATAAACCCACCTACAATATTACGAACTTTAAGCTTAATTAACTTAAATTATTTAAAATCAAAACACTACTTCAGGAACTACCTACTCATTCACTTTATCATAACCTTTATCCTACTACCTTTTAATGCATCAGCTGCTTTTATTGTGAAACACCAGACTCATCTTTACACTGGCTTAACTGCTCCAACTCAACATTACTCCAGCATATAATCAATACTTAGATTAATTGCTATTTTTATTCTATTGAACTAGATTTAATACCTGATCAGAAAACAGAACTAATCTACCAAATACAACAACATGAAGCATTCAATTTGTAGCAGTTCACCAATCTTCACATTACTTAGAACTCACTCTTAAAGGTCTAATTCCAAATTCTTTAGTTCAAACAGTTTAAAACTTTCATATACTATACAAACAAGCATCTTATATCATTATTGAGTTACTACTTAAAATTAATAAGCAAATATATGAGCAGCTTTGGAAGTCTTACTGTGCTAATTTCTCTAACTGGAGGAAGCAGCAGAAGATAACATACCCCTATTCCAAACCTAAAGATACATCTTCAACTAATAATTGAACTAATCGCTTACACACAAATTATACTTACTCTTGCACATATGAAACAGCAGACCAATTACATTCTTATTTAGGTAATTGCCCTCCTGTAGGCCAGGCTCATAAAAAAATTAGTATCTGGTATATACACTGGATTAAATATAGTATTACATTAAACTTTATTCTATCTATAATAACCTAGGTAAGTCTTTGACTACTTTAGTAGGTTTAGGTCACAGATAAATATGTCTGAGCTTTTATTCTTGCATATAATTTTTATTTTTATTTGTACTTGTACAAATAGTAGTATTTTTATATAGTCTCTATATAGTTACTATTTTTAAAATTACCAATAAAGATATAAGCAAGGCCTCACCTTAATGCCAAAAAAAAAAAAAAGTTGATTCAAAGTATATATTTTAGTATTAGAAAAATATATAAAAAGATTTATCTAATAATAAATAATCAATACTTTCTTAATATAATAATAAGAAAACTGAAATAGTCTTTTTTAATAGGCATAATACTGTATTATTAAGCATAGTATGTTTGTACTAGCATATGAGTTACAATTCAAAAGCTAGTATAAAAAAGCAGGGTTGCTAAAATAAAAAAATTTAACTATATATAATATCTTTAATAATTTAAATATAGTATATACAAAATTTAATTGTTAATTGCTAATTAGATAAAAATATTTAAAAATCTATCAATTGCTTTAACTGCAAACTTAACGTAAAAAAACGAAATAATTTATATAACTATTGAAAATCAAAACTCTAAATTTCTTGCTACAATCTTATTTTTCTTAGCATACTGTAATAGTATTATAACATTTATTTTTTTAAAAAAAAAAAAAAGCTAACAATATACGATTTATGTTCCATTAAAGTAAATCAAAATCATATATGACAAAATTTATCATGAATTATACTGTAGAATATTTTTTAAATTGACAAATAGCATTTAAAGTCAGGCAATGACCTTGGCAATTTGCCTGGCAAATTCGATCGTATTTCGGATAGTAGATATAATTTCTTCCTCGTCAAAATGCCGCATAGGTGATTTATCAATATTTTCAACTTTCCGCCAAGCAAGACTTTTAACAGAAATGAATTCTTCTTTCGAGAATTTACCTTTCACCTCTTGACAAATAGTGGCACGGGTAACTTGAAATTCACCGTTGCTTTGCATTAATACAAATAATACAAATTAATTCGAGGTGTTACATTCAATATTAAAGAAATATATTTCAAAGTTCATTTTACCTATATCTAAGTTTCCTAACAGTCTGCCTGACACCGACACAGTCAATATTAAATTTAGCAAAATCATTTTCATGAAACCACATTCCATCCTCGCTATCGAGACATTTAACGGGTTGAAGATCTTGAATTATCTTCTTCAATTTACTATCAATATGGTGATTACATTGGGTTTTTAATAAAAACCTTAAGTCAGGCCGTCGAGATCCGGATACGAAATCCATAATTGCTATTTGTTAAAGATTTTTTAAAGTTCGATAATCTATATTCGCAATTAATGCTCCTCGTTTATGATCATCACCTACCATGGCGACGGATGTCTTTTACCGCTTTCGTTAATTCCCATAATTCTTTATCCGGGTTCCAGTGTAATTTAAACTTTCTTTTTTTTTCATTATGTGTGTAATAAACAGTAATGCTTCCTTTATTCCCGATTATTGTTTCGGGTTTTACTTGTAATCCAAAATTCTTTTGAATTATAGACATTTTTTCAATGATTTGTGGTGCATCGTGTTGGAACGACGTACTTAGACGGAATTTATTGTTCCGTTCAAACCCGCACCAATCGTGAACGTCAAAATTTTGATCCTTAATCTTATTAATTCTGGTAAAGAGCTGCCGACCAAAAAATACATTAAGACGTATTTCTTTTCCCTCTGGATATGTGGGATCGACGTCAGAAAGCTTCGATGATATGACCTCTAAACATTCATCAAGTTTATCAGATGTTGTAAAGTCCCCAGTTTTGAGTGATGGAAGCAAAAGACCATGTCGTAGCTGATTCGCCAGATCATCCATGACATCGATCACTTTGGGTACCTTTTCTGTTTCTTGAATTCGTTCCACGTAATACTTTTTCGAACTTTGGGAATGATCATCAAATTCATCTTCGGTAAATTCAATAAATCGGTAATTGGCCTCTTTAACATCCGCCAAGTCATCTATCTCCAGTAAAACGTAACCGATGGTCGGAAGGACTGTTAATCTTTCAAGAGATTTTTGGATTAAAGATTTTGCTTGTTCACGCTGTGAAGGTGTGCCTTGGATTTTGGCCATGTGTCGACCTTTATCTGACTGGATAAAAAAAATCTTTGCGCCAGATTCCTCTCTACAAAATAACAATTACGTATGATGGCAATGATAATTAATATGCCAATAGATTAAGATATTTAAGATCACTTATCGGTAATTTACTTTATCTTATTAATATTAGCTCCTTTTTTCCCAATTAAAAAGGGAATCTTATCCGATGGAACGTAGAATTTTTCATCTTTACGTGTATTCTGGGAATTTGACATTGTTTTATATTTCGAAGGTTATCGTTACGAATGACGCTTCAATTTTATTCTTCGTTTTGCTGCTTTTTATTTAAGATTACGCATGTATTTCAAATATGGTTTAAGGTTTTCCTAATGTAGTTTATCAGTCAACAATTACTTTTAATGAAAACAATGACAAGGTCATTTATCCGAAGCTGTGAATCACATGATTATAATGACAATGCTGCGGTAAATAAACAGTGATCTTAAAATATACGCATTGCAACAATTTACGATCGCAAATACTATAAAATTGTACGATCATTTATCTAATATGCTTAAAACATCTTCAATTCTGCTATATTTTTCACGTGGCTTGTGTTTTTGTCTCCCTACTTCAAATTCATTTTCTTCTATTTTTTTCCAATCGTCATATGACACAGTGCGTATACCACGCTCATGAAGCATTGGTATAATTGCCTCTGCGCCCCTTTTAGGATAACTATCAGTGGTATCAGAAAGCATCGGCTTATTTTGTTGAATATCTGATACTATAATTTCTGCGGTTTCAAAAGCATCATACATTGTCGTAGAAATAATACCTTGTGGACCACGTTTAAGCCATCCAGATACGTAAAAACCAGGAAGCTTTACGTATATCAGAGTTTAATTTCACATTATCAGAACAATATCAAGAATTATAATTGAAATAGCGACCATACCTCATTACCATTTTTGTCCAATACTTTGCCTTTAACGTTAGGCACAACTCCTTTTTGTTCATCAAACGGCACTCCGAAAAAGCCGAATACGTAATGTTACGCTTATCGGAAGAAGAGGACCTTTACAGGTTCTATTTTGATAATACAATAGGATGTTTATGGGTTAATCTTTATTGCATAAAAATCATTTAATTGGCTTTTTATTATGATTTGCTACAAATTTAGGTGTCTTTCACGGCCAAAGAACTTCGCGAGATGATGCACTTACCTAATACTCGATTTTATATTGACAATGAATTAGTGAAAACGGAACTTTCCGCAAACACGGAACTTATTTCTCAAAATCGCCCTTTGAAACGCTTAATGCA